GTGATACAGATGGAAAACAAAGACAAACGCGCACACGGCACGTCCATCTACACCGTGCCTGCACACACACACACACACACACACACAGAGCCAGCTCCCACCTCGGAGAGCACCTGGGAGCAGGGACAGCCTGCAGCAGTGAGCACACCAGCACCCAGATCTGGGCTTCTAAACACCCCTCTTCACGATGGAACCAGAGCTCCTCGGAAACACGGCTGACTCCTGAGCTGGGACAAAGAATAATACCAAAGGAGTCTGGACATCTCACTCCAGAAAGGAGGGCAGTGCTCAGAAAATGCTGAGGACACAGGGCACCTGGGTGGCTCAGTCGGTTGGGCATCTGACTCTCGATTTCGGCTCAGGTCATGATCTCACGGTCATAAGATCGAGCCCTGCATCTGGCTCTGTGCTCAGCAAGGAAGTCTGCTTGTCCCTCTCCCTCTGTTCTTCCCCCATCTCTCTCTAATAAGTAAATAAAATCTTTTTAAAAAAAAACAAAGAAAGAAAATGCTGGGAACACGTCAAAAAGATGCACAGCAACCGGCTTGAAACAGTTCTCTGGGTCGAACCCGAGACAACGTGAGCATGGAAATAAATGACAGTAACAGATTATAATCCAGGGAATAAAAGAGAAAACCATGATGCAAACTGGCAGAAAGAGAGAGAGGAAGGAAAAACCGGAGGTGCACCTTGTCCCAAGTCCCTCGGAGAGAAGAGCCGTGAACGACGGGGGACAGAGCGACATCACGGAGAGGACCGGCAGACACCGCCTGGGAGGGCCGCATCCCAGCAACGGGACAAGGCTAAGCCACCTGCTGCCTGCAGGACAGGAGCAGGAGCGGGAGGCATCGAGCCTGGTCCCCCAACACGCACACAACCCGAATCTAATCCCGAAGGGACGCGCAGAGACCCAACAGCGGGATGTTCTTCAACAGAGGGCGCCTGGAACCTGCAGGGTGTCGAGGTCATGAACACCACGGGAAGGCTGCGGAGCCGCGATGGACCGAGGAAGAGCACAGACAGCACCCCTCAGGTTCCCCTTCTGCTGAACCGGCATTTCCGGGGACACCCATTGAGGCGTGAGTGGGACACCCGTGGGACGGGGCTGAGAGGCTGAGCTGCGCTCACTGAGGACAATGCCCTTGTTTTGCGGGCGACGCACTGAAAAGTTTGGGGGGAGGGCACCAAATTTCCCACTCACCTCCACTGGGGTGAGAAAAACCTATGTGTGCACATGGAGTTCTTACGAAAGTCCGATATATTTTCAAATTTGGAAAAGGACAAGAGATTTCCTGTTTCCACGGGAGCGAGGGTTCCTCGGTTCTGCCCTCTGCCCTGGTGTCGCACGCTTCAGCCTCAGGGTCCAGGCCCGGGCCGCCTGCGCTCGGGACCCCCGGACACCTGCGGGCCACCTGCAGGCCACTTCTGCGGCCCCAGGCATCTGGACCACACCACCGTGCACCCTCGCTCTCCTGGAAGCTTCATGAGAGCAGGACCCGGCCCAGGCAGCCTCCAGGCCCTCGCCAACCACAAAGCCGGCCTCAGAATGAAGGAACACACGGGAGTCCGCAGGCCCCCGAGATGACATCCTGGAGGAGAGGCTCAGCCCAGTCCCCCTTCCAGACTGGGCTTTGCAGAGTGAACAGCAAGAGCGTGGCCCCCACGTGCTGGGTGGAGTGAAAGCGCGGCAAGTTCAGGGTTAGCGACACACCCCTGGTACACTGGGGGCCGCGGCCAAGCTCACCACGCTGCAGGATGAGAGTGCAATCAGAGGAGGCTTCCTAGAGGAGGGGCCTCTAGACTAGCTCCTCCAGGAATAACCAAGCGAAGAGAAGGGAGGTCTACCAGCAAGGGCAAGGCTCCTAATGGATGCTGACGGCCAAAGTACGGAAGTGGGGAGCGACAGGCCTGAGGCAGGGACGGGAGGTGTGCGCAGGGGAGTAACCCCGGTGGGCCCCGGGTGCCAGGCTTCCCAATCTGTTCTCCGGGGAGGAGGCCTGCCAGGGTGCTGTGGGCAAGAGGCTGGGCGGGTGGTGCCCTACAGGTTCAAACTGCAGATGGAACCCGGGGCCGTCTGCTGGCGTCAGCAACCTCACGACCTCCACAGCTAAAGCCACTCCAGACACACGTGATCTCTTGTTAGGATCAGCAGATTGTGGCCATACCTAATTAGTTTAATTAAACCCAAGGTGGCTTCCGGGCATTTTGGATTAACAAAAAAATTAAAGCACGGCCTGCCAGCTCCAGGACGGCATGACAAAGGGGCCGCTCGGCTCTCTCTGTGAACACCTCCTAGCTTCCGGCTCGGTACACAGCAGATGCCCCGTAAGTACACATGCTCTTATGCTCCTTTGGGGCCAATTACCCAGCTGAGGTCAACTCGGAGTGGAGGGACATTCCAAATGCTATCCTCTGAAAACAGGATGTCACCATGAGAAGCCAGCATGGCCTTCTGGAACGAGCGGACAACATGGAGGCCTCTGAGCTGGACGGGCCTCCGGCACTCCAGGACCGCACGGAGGTGGGAAGGCCCCACAGACTGGACTCGACAGCAAAGTAGCCAGATCCCCACAGAAAACAGGCACCCATCCCACACCCCATCCACCCCGAGGAAGCAGACACGCGGCAGGAGCATCCGTCCGAGAGTCAGCCAGACAGCTTAAGGGAGGCTTGCAGAATCGAATGAGTTTCGGCAATCCTACGAGGGACACCTAAGCTTGTGATTTAGTTTCGCCTCTTCCAATCTGTGTCACCAGACGGAAGTCCCTGGATCTCTCTGAGCTTTAGCAGCCTCATCTATAAAACGGGGATGGCACAGCCTCCCCAGGATCATGCCTCGCCCAGGGCAGGACAAGGAAGAAAGGGAAGCTTGGACTCTTCTTGTGATCCAAGCACCGTGGGCCAACAGGACATCTTCCCTGCCCCGCTCTAGGGATGGTGAGCTTCCCAAATAACAAAGAGCAGCCACACAGCGAGGCCCCCCAGGCTCCCTCCCAAACCCTGCACAGCCATACCTGGTACAGAGAATTGTTTCTTTAACTGTGAATACACAGAGGGAGCCAAGGGATAGACCCGGTGAATGCAAGTTCACAGAGCACCTGCAGCCATCCTGCACCAGCGACGGACACACGAAGATGGGGTGACCCACCCCACCCCCACAAGGTGACCGGTGGGCTGAGGCCAGGGAGACCAGCCCTCAGCCAAGACAATGATCCCCGCCAGTGTCCAGATAACCATCCTAAAGTCACTAACGTCAACTCCGCACTGCGCGGAGAACGTTCCCTGCCTTAAACTCACGCAATCCTCAGAAGGCGGCTCTAAGGCGCCTACTATTGCTGTTCCCATTAAACAGTTAGGGAAACTGAGGGCCCAGGGGTGGTCACCCACCTGAAAGACGACAGTGCCAGGCTTCGATCAGCACACACGCACGAAGACACACAGACACTCGCCCGTCCGGTTCTCCCTAGCACCGAGTCCCCCTGGATACCCCTTCACCCAGGCTGGGACACGGAGCGCTCCAAGGGACTGTGGTGCTGTCAGTGTTGCTGCCCCATGGACGCCTCCAGGGACCCCAGGATGTCCCAGCACTTCCAGCACGGCGGCTGAGCCAAGCCACCTGCCACAGCCGGAGCGCCCCCTCTTCCCCCACCCTGCCCAAACCCCAGCTGGAAAAGGGCAGCTCCGGGACCCCGAGGCCAGCCAGGCCCAGCGTCTGTGGTGTGGACCCACCCACCCCGGGCTGCGTCCCGTGCCCCAGCCTCCCTGCCAATCAGCCAGGAAACCGGCCAGGAGCCAGCAAGCCTGGGCAGCCCCTGTGGATGACAGCCAAAGGCAGACACTCCCGCCCATGGCCAACTCTGCCCTCAGCAACCCTTCCTGCTCTCAGTTTCTCCAGCCCAGCCCCCACCCCCACCCCCACCCCCAGGGGAGGACGGAGGTGAGGAACGGGTTTATGAAAGTACTCTGCAGCAGGGCGCCAGGCCCCAGGGACTGCGAGTTAGTTGGCATGAGAGAACCTAAGGACAGCGCCTAAGGGGAGCCCTGAGACCGCATGCCTGCACCCCCGGGGCTCCCTCAATAGGCTGCCTGCCTCCGTGGTCCTGGGGTGTTATCGCTGAGTGGGAGGGCAGCCCCCCTACCCTCTCAGGGCTCCTCTTTGTCATCAGCCACCCCCCTTCCTCCCTGGAGGAGGGGGTGCTCTCATCTCCTTGGAAACGCAATCACAGCCAAAGGGCAGAGGCCATGCAGCCCAGCCTGGAAAAGCCGTGACTCACTCCATCCCTCCTTCTCCCTAGCCGGCTTTCCGATGTCACACACGCATGGCCGTTGTCCACGCGGACTCGCCGTGGGCCACAGAGGAAGGGGCTATGGGGCTCACAGGAAGGTCGATCCTGGACAGTGCTGGCCAGACTCAGGCTGGCCCCTGGGGCCCCTTGAGCGCCCAGGACCCCTTCAGATGGAGCTGGGGGTGGGCGTTCTGTGACTCCAGGAGGGCAGGACCGGAGCTTCGTTCTGCTCAAGTCTCAGCCAAGTTCCCTTTAAGGGGCCAAGAAAAGCAGCTCCTGCCGGCCGCGCAGACATTTTCCTGCCGGCCGGCCGCGACAAAGGCCACACTTGAGGGTGCTGGCGAGGCGACGGGGGCTCCGGCTCGCACCCAGCTGCGCGGCCCCGTCCAAGAGGAGGCGGCGACCCGAGCCCACCCGCTCCCTCGGGCCCCTCCGCCTCCGCTCCTCGCGACTCCTCCGGCCGCGCCCCGCCGTCCTCCACTGTCCCGCCACCAGGCGCGAAGCCGGAGGACGCGACGCCCGACGAGGCCCCCGGGCGTGGCGGGCTCCCCGGGGCCGGGAGGGACGCGGGGAGGGGGCGGCTTCGAGGCTCCCCGCACCCCGGCGCCACAGACGGCCCGGGGCGCGCCCCGGGCTGGGGGGACTTTGGTCAACTTCGCGCCTCCGGGGCGCACCGCTCTCTCCCCGCGACCGCCCGCGCGCCGGGACCCTCACCTGGGACATCTGCGGCCGGAAGTTGATGTCCTTGAGGTCGATGGAGCCGGGGGCGAGGTTGTGCAGCAGCTGACACAGGAGGACGCCGTCGCGCAGCGCCTGCGCCAGGTCGAACACCGCCGCCGAGGGCCACACGACCCGGTGGTTGGGCGGCAGGACCTTGCAGTCGATGAGCCAGCGGCCGCACTGCCGCCACTGCTCCATGGCGCCCGCGGCGGCCGCGCCGCCGGCCCGCTCAGGGCAGCGCTCGGGCCGGAGTGCGGCGGCCGCGGGGCATCCCGCCCGCCCGCGCGGGGCTCGGTGGCCGGGGCGGGGCTTCGCGCGGGCGGCCCGGGGTCCCCGCCGCGCCGCCGCGCGTCCCCCCCCTCCTCCTCCCGCTCCGGCTCCGGCTCCGGCTCCGGCTCCTCGCCCACGTGCGGCCGCGGGGTGGGCGCCGCGCAGCGCGCGGGACCCCTCACACACACGGGCGCCCCCGGGCCCCGGGCCGGGCTCCGCGCCGCGCGCCGCCGCCGCGCCCCGCTCTCCGCCCCTGCGGGCGCCGCATGCTGCGCTCGGGGCGCCCCGCGGCCGCCGCCGCTCCTGCCCCGCCCGAGACAAAGGGCCGGCGGGTCGCTCGCTCCGCGCGCCCGGGGCCTGGGCAGCCCTGGCCGCCGCCGCTTTGTTCGCCCCGCCCGCGGGCTCCGCGCTCGGCGCCGGGCGCTCGGACTCGGCAGCGCGGCGGCCCTGGGGTTGCGGGGGCGCGGGGGCGCGGGGGGCGCGGGGGCGCGGCCACGGGCGGGGCGGGGGCGGGGCCGGCGCGCGGGCCTGGCGCCGCCCCCGCCCCCCACTTCCTGCCCCGCCGCCCGCCGAAGTTGCGGAGGGCGGGGGCTGCGGCGCCGCCCGGGGCCCGCCCACTCCGCCCGCGGGGCGCCCGGACTTTTGAGGAGCTCTGCGCGGGGGGCGAGCGACCTCGCCGGTGGAGGGAGGGCCGGTTCTCGGTCTCTGCGTTGGCCCTGCGTCCCACTCGGCGGCGATCAGTCGGTGGCCCCTGTCGCGCTGCGCGCCTCCGCACGGCCCTTCGGAAAGGACAGACCCGGGGGGGGGACCGACCGGACCGAGGCCCCCCGCGTCCCCTCGGTCCATCAAGCCGTCCCTGAGGGATAACTCGAGGCCCGAGGCACACACGGGCGGGGAATGCGCCCAGAACCCCCATCCCATCCTGTGCTCTGGCCACGGACCCGAAAGCAGCCCTCCACCCACCCCCGACCCCGCACAAAGGCCGGGATTCCCCCACTTTGTGACCCAGGGCCCTGGCCACTTGCAGCTGCCCGGAGGGCAAATCCTGGCGTCTGAGATGGACTATGTGCGATTAGTAAGTGACAGAGACGGCTGGTCATGAGGCCAGAGCTGCCTGGGCTCTGGCTGACTGCAGGGTCCACTGACCCCGCCCTGAACTCCTTCCTGAGCCCCGCCCAGGGGTGGGGGCCGCGTTTTCAGCAGCTGGCCTCCCCCCCGCGACAGTGGCACGGCTTCAAGGGCATGAAGAGCCAATCTGGCAATGAAATGACGTGGATCCTGGCTCAGCTCAGGAGCCGTGGGTTCTCATCCCTGGTGTGCTGGGCCTCCCTGGGCAAGGCACAGCCCCACCCTGAGACTCTCGGCCAACGCTGGGGTGGTGGTGAGGCCACCCACCTGCGCGCTTGTGCTTGAGTTCTGGACCTGTGTTCGCTGGGGCAGCACTGGGCAGCTGCCTCACGGCCCAGCCCTCTCCTCCGCGGGGTGCCACCCCCAACTCATGAGTGCAGAGAGGATCCCCCAGGCCTTCTGCAGAGCTCAAACCTTCCCCTTCCCCGACTGAGGAGGAAGTCTGGGGGGCCAGGCCAGGGGCCAGCCCACGGAGAGAAGCAGGAGAGGAGCTGGCCTCCGGGACACACCCCAGGCCCTGTGAGGAGTGGTCACAGCAGGAGTAAAATCAGGCCAAGTGGCCAGGCAGCTCCAAGCTACCGTCCAGGCGTCCTTCCTTTGAGAAACCCACGTAGGGAGGAACCGGCCTCAGAGGGGTGCGATGGAGCCTGTTTGGCCGGAGGCAAAAGCGGGTAACCCCCGCCCCAGCATCTCCCCGCCCGAGGAATGGAACCACAGGACGTAGCCTGAACCCCAGCCCCACCAGCCCCCGCTCTGAGAGCCTTGCAGGCACCTTCTCCTGCAGCGCCCCCTCCCCCTCTGTATTGCAGGGAGCCCAGCCACAATCAGAATTGTTTGTGAGGGGCCCACAGGACATCATGGAGTTTTTGTGCAGGGCCTGGGGCAGAATGGGGCTCCTGCAGCTCTTCACCTGGGGTGCCCTATTCTGGTGCCCCCTTAATGCCTGTGTCTCTCACCCACAGGTAGAAAAAGGCAAGAAAAGGGCCTCTGTCCTCGCCACCCTCATGGCCTTCCTGCCTGGGCAGAGACCCAACCAAGATGATGAGCCGGGGACTGGGACACAGGCACCCCCAGCTGACCATGCAGACGGTCGTCTGCTGCCTCCTGGTGGCTGCGGAGGGCACTGTCGCCACCTGGCTGCCCAGCTGGCCGAGGAAGCTGGGGTTTAGCCTTGTGAATGGTCACACCGGGAGACTCAGACCTTGCTGCTGTGCGGTCCTGAGCCAGCCACAACCCTTTCAGCATCCCCAGTTTCCCATCTGGACATTGGGAACATGTGTATCTCACAATCCTTGGGAGGCTCTGCAGGCAAGCTGGACAGGAATGGATGGATGGATGGATGGATGGATGGATGGAAACTTGGCAGAGACTCCCTCCCTGGCACTTGGTGTGGGTGTGATGAGCAGGTCCAGACTGTACCAACTCAAAGTATGGATCAGAAAGAGGGGACACTTGTCCAGAAAACCCTACTGCTATCCTCATGCCCTGGGACCCAGAGCTGTTTGCCAGGACCACCTGTGGTACACCTCTGGGCGGTGGGGGGGGGGGGGTGCACAGGGCCCATTGCCTCCTGTGGACATGGTGCCCTGGAGACGTGCTCACAGACAAGGAAATGGTACCCTCGAGGCTGCACTTCAGCTTGGCCCACCTTTAGCCCAGCCAGTGATGGCTTCAGTGGGAGGGACAGACTCTGTGCTGAGCGTCAGGGCAGCCCACAGGAGAGCCGGGGAGCTCGGCCCCCAGCCCAGCGGGCAGGGAGTGCCAATACCAGCCACGTACCCCAAAGTAGACAAGGAAGGTCACAGCCCCCTCTCCCCGCCTCACCCACCCACCGTTGCCCCCTTCCATCCATCCTCGGGAACCAGCAAGGACCCAGAAAAACTTGGGTGAGACCCTGTCACTCTCCCGGCCAAAGAGGTACAAGCGAATTCTTTCCCTAGAAAATGTGGCCCCTCCCTGGATGACTTCATTTCCTGCATGAAGGAAAGGAGCAGCCACACCTGGTATGCTCCTACCTCAGGGCCTTTCCACTGGCCGTGTGTCCGCCCGGGACTCTTGTCCACAGAGCTCACCCCCTCACATCCTCTGCGATCCTCTCCCCCAGACCTGACTCACTTAGTCTCATCCCTCTAGACAGTGAGCTCTGGGGCCGCAGGGACCATTTCTTCCTGTCCCCAGTTCACGCCCAGCACTGCAGACTGGGCGCGGCCTGTGGTAGGTGCTCAGAAAACACTTATTGAACGAAACACCAAATGAATAAACCACCAACTTGGCAAAGCACTGCAACTCCGATTTTTAAACCCAATAGATTCTCTCACGGAAGTCACAGACATGGGGTAAGTTGATGCCAAGGTTTACGAACCGGGCTGTGCCATCATCCGTGGAGTGATCTGCGGCCTGTCCTAGCAATGTCTAGAACGAACGAACCTTAACATCGTCACGTGAGTGTGTAACAGCATGCTCCGTAAGACTGCGCGGGCGTAGCCCACTCAGGCGGGTTTATCCTGATGGCGTCCGTGGTTGTAACGGACACCCCCCTGTCCTGAGGGCCACGGGGCCAGCCCGAGAGCCGCGGACGCTCACCTCACCTCCCTTAAGCCTCACGCAGTAGCCGCTATTGTCCTGGGTGGCGAAATGCGGAAACCGACACGCCGGGCGCTTTGGTGAGCTGCCCGGGCCGCCCGGCAATTCGCGAGGGAGCCCGGTGCGAGCGCCGGGCCTGCCCAGCGCCCAGATGTTGCTGTTGAAAGCGGTTTCCGCGCTGAGACTTTCTGCTGTTCCTCGACAAGCTGATTTGGGTGGGTGGGTGATGAGGGAGAAGGGAAAATGCTGTGATGTCTACAGCACGTAGATACTGACTCAGCAACAGAATGCAGTGCTTGAAAGTCATGCACGCGCACACACACGTGTGTGCATGCACACGCGCCCCACTGCAGAAATGGGGTGGTAGCCTGGCAGGAGCATCAGGTTGACCAGAAAGTGGCTGCTGGGGAGACACCCTGTGTCCGGGCTGAAGTGGGGGGAGCGTGGAGGGGGGCTGTCGGGTCCCTGGGAGTCCCAGAGAGGCTTCTGGAGGCTTTAGGGCAGGTGAGCCTGGGCTTCCCGCTTCTGCTCCTCTCCCAGGACAGTAAACCATGCAGGGGAGGACAGCCCAGCTGCTGCTGAGGGGCCCCGCGTGCACGGCAGGCTTTGCACTAACGCGCCCCAGCCCAGCCCCCGCCGGGGGGCACTCTTACTAGATCTGCTGTGCAGGTGAAGCTTCACAGACCGGAGGGACTTGCCAGGTTGAATCCCCGTCTGAATAGGGAATCTGCCTCCTGCCGTGCCTCCAGCTGAGGACTTTGCTTTCGCTTCTGGTTGATTCGAGGGCTCCAGGGTGCGGCGTAGGGGGGAGTCTGCCCTCACAAAGCCTCCCGGGTCCCCACAGAGCCGTCCTCCTCGGCCAGAGTCTCATTCCCGGGGCAGCACTGGGAGTTTGCTGGGCACAGGAACAGTGCGTCTCCCCACGCGGCGCACGGGGCACACCGCACTGGAAGGGGCTGGAGGGCCCTCTGCCCGTCCGAACACCCTAGAGCTCCCCTTTCCACACAAGCCTGCTTGGAGAACGACATGCAACCCACCCGGGGGCTTTCCCAGCCCAATTCCCCAGCCAACGCCAAGAGCTGTGGCAGGGTCCCCATGCCTCTTCTCAACAGGACCAAGGCTGAGGGGGCCTTATTCCATAAGGCAGGGTCCCAGGGACATATAAGACTTCTCCCGCAAAGGCCTCCACAGAAGCAGGAGTCTGCCTACCCTCCACTCATCCATCCATTCCTCCCTCTATCCCTCCCTCCGTCCACCCCTCCAGCCCCCTCTCCATCCTTCCATCCCTCTGTTCACCCTCCCACCCATCCCTCCATCCACCCGTCTATCCCTCCTTCTATTCCTCCATCCTTCCATCCATCTCTTCTTCCATCCTTCCATCCCTCTACCCATCTATCCCTCCCTCCCTCCCTCTATCCCTCTCTCCATTTTTCCACCCATCCCTCCATCCATCTCTCTTTCCCTCCCTCCATCCCTCCCTCCATCTGTCTATCCCTCCCTCCATCCCTCTATCCCTCTCTCCATCCTTCCATCCATCCCTCTATCCATCCTTCCATCCATCCCTCCAACCATCTCTCCTTCCCTTCCTCCAACCCTCCATCCCTCCATCCATCTATCCCTCCCTCCATCCCTCTATCCCTCTATCCATCCTTCCACCCATCCTTCCATCCATCTCTCTCTCCCTCCCTCCATCCCTCCACCCCTCTACCCCCCATCCCTCCCACA